TCAAAGTGAAGAATCGACATGGGAGACCCAAAAAAGGAAAAAAAAAATGTCCTTATCGTGAATCGAACACGAGTCCTCAGCGGCTTGCAGGTGTTAAACCACAAGCTGATGTACTAACCACTATACTATAAAGACGCTTTGTATGTCGGCTGTTTCACCCTTTGACGCCCAAGGAGTCTTACCATGTTTTTGCTCAAATTTGATTCGGAAGAGGCACCTCTTGGTCGTTGCTCTGAGGCCTGGGCGGTTGCTTAACGATGGTTCGTTCACTTTAGACACTATGAAGTGTGGTCATATGGCGATCTACCGGCTAGAAGCTTCAGGCAGTGACCTTTGATCGGCTTTATTCTCCAGCGTGCTCATTTCATTCGTACGGGAGCGAGTTGCAGGGCGGCCGGTAGGAAGGATCGGCGTTGGCATGGGCTGAAAGTTGATGGAGCCGAATTACTAACTATCCTGTTGAGCTGCTAGAGTCGGCGTGATGGGGTTGATTTGTTTTCAAGGGATGGGAAACCACGTAGTGAGTCGGACAGGACGCTTCTGGTCACCGGCTGGATGACCGGACAAAAAGCTCGCCAGGAGTAAGCACATCATGTGTGCTCAGATGAGCGACTTCCAATAAATCGAGAGCACAGCCATGCTACGCTCGCTATGGCAACTCGTGAGCGCACAGTTGCTGCCGCGTGGTTTTTCTACGCGCCAGGGTGGAGGAATAAGGGTTTGGGCGAGCTGGACTTGCGAAAGAATGCGAGAAAGGAGCGGCAGTCAAGCTACTTGTGTATATATGCACAAAGAGGCGTGATCCCGCGCCCAACATTCCAACCGCTACTTTGGACCCTTGGCAACGCAAAACGGACGTCCATCGTCGGCCCGTGTGCCTGGACTCGGACATCCCTGGCGCTCGCGGACTTCCTTTCAAAGCGTCTCCACGATCTCTTTCTGTGACACCAGACCTTCCTTTTTGAGGTTTGGAAGTGTGCATCACGTCAAACAAAAGGCTGAAAAGAACTCCACCAGACGAACGCCCAGCGACCGCGACGCGGGATCCTGTGGCGTGGCTCGCTCTCTTCCCGGGAGTGCCGTGGCGCTCAAATTGATTGACAAACCGGGATATGGAGCGTTGATCGACGGGAAGGAAGGCACAGACGTGTTTTCACCTTTCTACTTCTACCACCAACCACGACTTTCAGCTGGTCGTAACCCTTCCGACTGGGCCACGAACGCGATGGCCGTCACCCGCAAACACCAACCACACGGCTGGGCGCTGCCCGCGCTGTATTTCGCCGCTTTGCTTGCAGTCACGAACGGAGCTTCGACCCTCCCTTCGCAGTGCACTGTATCTGGCACGACAGCAGTCTGCACTTACACGGCGACGGACTCTGGCGTCGTGAACGCTTTGACGCTGCCTGCTTCCGCGACTTCGGTCGACATCACGGTCAATGGCGCGCAAGGCGGAGGGTGAGGCGTCTTTCTCGTGTTTGCAGAGAGGGAGGAGGGAGCTGAGGCTGTCGATGTGATAGTGGAGCATCGGGAGGAACCATCTCCAACACGTTCACGAACCTCGCTTCAAGCGAGCTCTACGTCCTTGTAAGTCCCGTCGTCGGACGCGTGGTTTGGTTTCAGGGACGCTGATCTCAGCTGCTGTTCACACAGGTCGGCGGCGTAGGCTCCTCTCCTACACAATCAGACCCCATCAATGTTGGATGCCCAACTACAGGCGGTGAGCATCTCTTTCTCTTCCCACGCTCCCGCTCCCGTTCAGCGTTCGGCCGCCCGACGCGGCGGGCGCCCTTTCGATCAACATTCCACAGAGACGCGTGCGAACTTTGACGATCCCGTGAATTTCCTCATTAGGGTACAATGGAGGCGCTCCCGGAGGGTATGGAACTTCGAATTGTGGTGGTGAGAAATGTTTTCTTGTGGTTGTTGTTCATAGAAAAAGGAAGCTGATGGTTCTGACGGGTGTGCGTCCAGGTGGAGGCGGAGGTGAGTGGACGCGCGGTTCGAAAAGGGCGGGCGCAAAGACTGACACGTACGTTTCTCCTTTCCTGCGTTTTCGTTTTGTTTGGCAGGCGCCACCGATGTGCGTACATCTCCGAGTGATCTCAATTCTCGAATCATCGTCGCTGGTGCGCACGCGTTTCCTCTTCTCATCCCGGACTCGAAGGACCCCGTTGCTGATGTAAGTTTGCGCGCTACCAGGAGGAGGAGGCGGAAGCGTCAATGGAGAAGGACTACTTGCTGGAGGTGAAGCAGGAGTGTCTGGATTTACCTACAACGGCGCCGCCGTGGGTGGGGCTGGCGCGTCTTTATCCGGGCCAGGCACGGCTGGGTACCAGGCGGGGTCAAACGTGATCTCAGGGGTGAACGCCGGCACGCTTGGTGAGTTCTACCGGTGATGTCTTACGGAAAAAGAGGTTTTGGATACTGATGGAGTGAGGTGGCAGGTCAAGGTGGAAATGGCGCGGACGCTGCTACTGATTCTCAAGGTGTTCAGTATGGCGGTAAGCCCTCCCGCGCTTCGTGGCTGCCGTGAGAAACACAAACTGACTCATCCAACAGCTGGTGGTGGTGGAGGTGGTGGAGGTATCTACGGGTTCGTCTAGAAAGGTTCTCCCTGAGACCGCACGTGGGACGTAGCTCACGCTGAGATGCAGTGGAAGCGGCGGTGCTGGATGGACGAGCATCACGTCTAATCAGCCCATTCCCCTCACAAGTGGTGGATATGTGAGTGTTGGATTTCTTTATATTATTCAATTCTCATGCCGACCCTGTCCTCCTCTTTGACAGCTCGGAGATGCCGGTGATATGGCTGTACGTTGTCCATTTTCCGCTCTTTTACCCCTCGCTAATGTTATCCGTACTTTGAACAGTCAGGGTGTAAGATCGGAGTCTGTTAAGCTGCTTCAGGCAAAGTTGATGTCCATTCTTCTATCATACAGCTGGCGCTGGAGGATCCAGCACTTCGGGCGCCACCGCAACCACGTCCACGAATGCTATGGCGGGTGCCCTGATCATTGTCAACGCTGCGACAGCCGCGACCGCTTCGAATTACGATTGCGAGTTCGATTCCCAAGATGGATATAGTCTTTGCCTCTTCTCCCGCGTCGGCGAGATCAACAGCCTCCAAGTGCCGAGTGATGCGACCTCGGTGACGATTCAATTGGTCGGAGGTAACGGAGCGTAAGGGAGCTTTCCGTCTTTTTTGGTTCTCTCACGGCCGTGTTTTAATTTGAGTTTCCTTGTGCTGACTTTCCCTGACTTGCGTAGGTCGACAGCTAACGCTCGCTATGGAGGTTACGGTTCCGCCGTGGGAGGGACGTTCACGAACTTGGCGTCCCAGACCATCTATATCTTTGTACGCACTGGTCTCTCTCTTGTCTGTGAAAGAGTAGTTAATGACCACCCTGCTTTGGTTAAGATCGGCGGTAATGGAGATGGCCTAGTTGGCGGTACGACCACTTTCCCTTGCTGTGCCTCGTCTTTGTTCTGGCTGACGAGTCTCTCTCGACGGGAATGTGCAGGTTACAACGGTGGAGGAAATGGCGGCACGGGACTGGAAAACGGAGGTCGGTGGTTTCCAGCTTCGTGCAAAAGTGTTCCTGCAACTGATATCGCTTCTAACTTGTCAGGCGGAGGAGGAGGCGAGCGATTTCTTTCGAGACAGGAAGTGGATCGAGGCTGACGAGTCAATCGCTTTAGGCGCCACCGACGTCCGAACTGTTGCTCCTTCCGACGCTTTGACTTCTGCTACGGACCAAGCTTCATTGAACTCTCGTATCCTTGTCGCTGGTACGGTGTTTTCTGTCGTCCGCCTTGATTACCTGTGCTTACAAGCTTGATGGCTACCAGCTGGAGGCGGCGGAACTGCCGGAGGTTAGCTTACTTCTTCTCAACAAGCACACGTTCAAGATTTACTGAACCATTCCTTTTCAGATGCATCGTACGATCCCGGCCAATGTGGATGGGGCGCCGCCGCCGACGAGGACGGCTCACTCGCCACCCCGAACTGCGGGTCATATGATGGAGCTCCTAGTGGTGCTGCGCCTGCCTATCCCTACGGTCTTGCCGGTGACGGCACTTTTGGCGTGGGCGGCAACGGAGGAGGAGCCGCCGCGTCGAGCCCCAACAGTGAGCGGCTTCCACGTGTTCCATTCGTTCGTCGACTAACTGTGGTCTTCAGACGGCGGTGGTGGAGGCGGCGGTGGATATTGGGGTGGTGGAGGCGGACAAGGCTCGGCCATCATCGAGAATGATGGGGTTTACCCTTGGGCTGGTACGTCCAACTCGTTTGATCCTGCCTCTCAAGGGATGGCCGCTGACACGTAGCATAGGCGGAGGAGGAGGCTCAAACTGGTACATTGGCGTTGAAGATGTGCTCAACAGGAAGCGAGCTGGATCGACGACGTTGGATCCTGCTGGGGCTGTGATCACGTTCGAGTACGTGGACGATGCGGCTCCCACGGCGGCGGAGAAGAAACGTGCGCGTGCTCGTAGGCAGAATGAACAGTTGTACCTCAAGGTGAGAGCTCTTTTTGGATTGAATGATATAATGGCCCTGACCGACCGAGCTGCAGAAACACCCGGCGTGTCCCGCCGACCAACGAGCGTGCTCACTCCCTTCCGGCAACTTCGAGGTGCGAAGATCGTTTCACAGAGGCTGAATAATCTTTCAACCCGTCTTCCTCACAGTGCATTGACTTCAACGAGCTCACAAGCTGTGGCGGATGCGTGTCCGAAGGCACCGGCGTGGATTGCTTGGCCTTGCCTGGCGTCCAAGGTGTGCAGTGTAGCGAGGATCGCTGCGTGTCTTGTAAGTACAAAGTGGTGATTTAGAGTATTCGTTGTCTTTTCTCACGCTTTGATGGTGTTCACAGACAGTTGTGTTGCGCCTTACAAGCTTCGCAATGGAAAGTGCGTCAAGGTCAAGTAAGCTGGGGGGCTTCGTAAAGGAAAACAAGATTGTTTGCGATGGACATCGCCTTGGTAGAAAATGTTTCCAGACAAATAACCTATTCTGCTGTTCCGCTCTAAAATCTATTTATCACTTCGATGCTGGCGAATGGCGGTCCTTCAAGCGCGTGAGTGAGGGAGAGGCACGTCACGCGTCTTCTTTCGAGGCTCTCCTACCGATT